ATTGAGAATGTATCAAGGCTCTGTAAACGACAGGTGTATAGGGTATATTGTTGGAGGGTTGATAGTAACACCTTTGAGCAACCACATAGTGGATGGAAAACATCGAAAGAAATGGACTTATTATTAAACCTTAATGAACCCTTGTGACAAATTATCTTGATTGTTAATTATAAATTATGATATCGAACTGTAGTTCTAGATCTAATTGTGTTGTTTGTTTCCAACTTTTGGCCACTCTTTCCTCGAAATTCATACAAGGTGGGTTGGTTGGTTTGTTGTTTAACGCCGCACTCAGCAATATTACAGCAATATGACGGCGGTCTGTAAATAATCGAGTCTGGACCAGACAATCCAGTGATTGATATCATGAACATCGATCCACGCAAATGGGATCGATGACATGCATCAACCAAGTCAGCGAGCCTGACCACCCGATCCCGTTAGTCGCCTTTTGCGACAAGCATAGTCGCCTTTAACGGCAAGCATGGGTTGCTGAAGACCTATTCTACCCCGGAATCTTCACGGGTCTCACATGTAGGCAATTTGTTCATATGTTCTCAGATGTTCATACATGTTGGAAGGCTGGGCAGCATTCATCTCAAGGGCAACATATTCTCCTCTCCTTTCGGGATGTAGGTAATCATCACCTGAAACAAATGTCAACAAAAACGTTCGGACTTGGTTTGGAAAATATATTCATTGATTGAAATTAGAATTGAGAATGACAACAAATTGCAATGGAATTAACAAAATCCACACGGAAAGTGTATTCTGCTTGTGAAATCTACAGTTATAACGAACTCAAAACACAATAAAACTATGTAATTCTCGGGCAGTGTGGGAGGTGAGACACTACCCCCCACCCACAACACCCCCACCCCCACCCCCCAACAAGAATTCCAACAAAAAACAGCTGGACACACACTGAACTCATTTATGATAATGTCAGTTGTAATTTGGTTATTAATTTACACTAGCCATTGTATGATAAGTAGGGCTGATGAGTGAGTGAGTGAGTGAGTTGGGTTTAACGCCGCTTTTAACAGTATTCCATTTATATCGTGGCGTGTCAGCTTAACGTGGGAGGAAAGCCAGAAGTGATGCAGGTCTCAGACGTTTACCACTTCGGTGAAACCCACGAGCACGGGTATGGTGCTGACAAACCTAGAAACATATATGAGGCGAACTGGGATTCGAACCCACATTCATAGGTTTCTGGCGTGCCCAAGGGACGCAACTCTGCACAGCGAATCGCGGCGCCTTAGACGACAGGCGCCCGTGCCCCCTAGGGCTGATGAAGTAGATTGGACATGACTGTCACAAATATTACGAAAACATAATTTGATCAGCACGAATTTTAAGAATGTATTGTATTTAGCACAGATAAAGCGATGATTCCGTTTTCTTGTTTATGACACCATGACACAAGCAACACCTATAGTTTCTGGAAAATTATATTGTCACCCAAATTACAAACTCTCAGAGCTACCTACCTCCCAAACGTGTGCTGGAATCTGCTTGGTCTGTACTGCCGAGTGGTCCTCTAACCTCAGGCACATGAGATGCTTCATAAACAGTATTACTATACACTGCTTCTTCTTGTTCTTGAGGTACCCTCCCAGCAGTACCAGAACATACGTCTCCTGATCTCAGCGCCTGCAGAAGAATGTTTTACAAAAGGATTCAGCCAAAAAGAATGACATTTATTCTTATGCTGAGACTGCCTCCATGAACAAGTGGACACAACGTTTGCCTGGAGAGTGAAAGAGAAGTGGTTCGATTCATGTCCGATTCATACCAAGTGACGTTAAAACATAGTACGTGTTGTTACCCTGCCTGCCGGTAGGCGTGTTTATATCAGTATCATATGACGAATGTAAATATCAGCAACTAATCGGATGACAAACACGACGAAAGCATACAAACTTTCCTAATTTACCACATTTAATTGAGTTCTTAGACATACATATTCATTTAAACTTGTCATTAACTTTGCAGTGACCGTTTAAGGAATATCATACTGTTGATAACATCAATATAACTGAATCTAATATTTCTATGTGTCTCTCGAAGCCGTTATCGCTTAAACCTACCTCAATGGCATAATACAATAATAATACACAACATATGACGAAACAACACATTCGAGACCAACTCGTGTTATTCCGTAACAAGCCGAGGTTGTCTTGCAGGTTACGGAAAGGGGCGAGTGGTGACGAATGGAAACAACATAATAATAATCAATGTCAAGTAATGAACATAAAATCTAAATCATTAAAAGGCCTCACTCGCAGCTGACTTCAAACCAAACTAGGTGAGTGGGTGCATGAGTAGGGCTATAGAATCTAGGTGGCGGCAGCCAGGAATGAGTTATACATTTTGACTGTATGTGTGAAATATAGCGACAAAACCCTTTCCATATCCAATAGAAATCTCTGCATACAGCAGAGTTGATTTACAATTCCGACTATATCATGAGCATGTGTTTATGAATCACAATCAAATAGTGATGATACCAGGTGTTCGCGAAAAGGTGAGAAGATTATATACAAATGTTATCCCCTCTCTTGTACTGCAGGGGAATCTTTTCTTGATAAAGACGTATTGAATTTTCAGACCAAAACAAACAGGTCAAGAACATATAACCTCTCTCTTCAACAGTGCATTTTGAATTGCTGCTTTTGAGGAAATAAAATGATTGTATAATCCTAGCTTTGTTGCTCTGTTTTTATGGCAATGCAGTGGTGTAGTTATGTTGTGCTAGGTACTTGGATTTATTCACAGAGGCATAGAGTTCATCTACATCAGGTACGATCTTTTGTACAATATTGACAGGAGCGGGTGACCTCGCCAAGGTGAACACTACCAAGCTGACTGTCGTTCATTTCCCGATGAACGTCAGTATGTCACGTGATTAACGTCTCCTTACGTCTTGAACAGTTACATCCGCGCCGGAATAAACCTGTTAGCTGGCACTTCCACAGTTATATAGGGAGGATCAAAGAGAATGTTTGATTGACGTGTTTTTACCTGTTTTTTCCACTTGTAATTGCAGGCGAAAGTGATAATCATGATGATAATAACAATCGAAGGAACTCCTCCTGCAACTATCAATAACGTTGAGCTATCTGATGGCGTTGGAGGGCACCCTGGAGTAGGCAATCCTGTTGAAAGAGTGGTTGGTATGTTGGTGACTGTAACAGAATAAATTGTAATATTTTTAATACACACGTTAGTATACGGAAGTGGTTCTGCGAGGGGGAGGGAGGGAGGAGGAGGGCGGGAGGGAGGGAGGGAGGGAGGGAGGGAAGGAGGAGGAGGAGGAGGGAGGGAGGGAGGGATGGGATGGGAGGAGGAGGAGGGAGGAGGGAGGGAGGGAGGGGAGGAGGAGGGAGGGAGGAAGGAAGGAGGAGTGTTTTTTTGTGGTGGGTAGGCAAAGCAATGATGAAAGCGTTTTATCTGGAGAGTGGGTTGGCCCTGAAAAGGGCCGTTTGATCTTGAAGATTACCTCCTCACCCACATAGGCGTTGTGCTACAAAGGCACGGATTGGCAGACATCTGTTTCCTGACAGGACACTTACTGGTGTGGCATAATCGCCTCATGTAAGTGTCCTTGATGCACTGAAATGTGCCATCACGTTCCTTCATACCAAGAGCGTAGACAGGAAAACAGCCTTGGCACCTGACACATTGTCATGTAGGAGGCAATAGCAATGCTTCTGTCTTCATGAGTTCCAAGCCCCAATACTCTGTGCTGGTTGCCATGATGATTGATCTCATAGAATGCAGTGTGAGTGGCTTCGCTCTTGTTTTATAGGTGAGGGAGCAGATCGAAATCGTCCCTGGTTTGATTGGTCCGCAACGCAGTGCACCGAATGGTCCGTTCCGGTGCCTGGTCTGAGCCCCGGTTTTCCAAACCGACCCGACCCTTGTGAAATGTTTTTTTTTCCATGGGCGAGAAAGCACATCTCGGCTCACTAACCATACTTATCGTTTGACATTTAAACAAAGACTACTTGGAAGACGTGCCACCACACGAGCTGTCCACAGAACTGCAACGTTTATTTGTCACCGTGATCGAGGACATATACCAACAGGTGTCAGGCCAGAAGGGTGATCGTATTGGACCTAGTATCCGTCACCCTGCTTTGGACTCCCCCATACGAATTCCATTTCACCGCTTTGAAGATCTCCATGGTGTATGCCATGGAAAAGGTCCAAGAGTCAAATCAACATTTGTGATTCATTTCAAGAACGTGTGAGGTCTTTTCCAACGTGGCCTAAACAAATGACCCAGACCCCTTATGAAAAATGGTCATGGCTGGTTATTATCATGGTCGAGGTGATCGTGTTATCTGTTATTGCTGAGGTGTGACACTCTGCAATTTGGAAGCCACAGACAAACCCTGGAAAGAACATCTGAAGCACGCCAAAGTCACCTGTTTTGTCCTGATGGAAAAGTGAACGAAAAATGGAAGAGAAGAGCCGAGTGTTTTGTTCACGCCCTAGTGACAAAATTTTCTGGACACAAAATCACAGGGACGCCTCTCATCCTGTGGCTTTTGTTTTGTGTGAGTGGGGGATTTAAAAATTGAACAAAAAAAGGTGTTGTGTTGTCTTTAGGATGGAGATCGGCATGCACACCCAAGGGAAAAACAAGATCGACATGCAGACCCCAGAAAAAAACAAGATCGAAATCTGACCAATCAGAGGCTTGGGGTGTGGACCAATCAGAGACCGTGCAGCACCTTGGCGACCCTCTGACTGGTCGAACCGCCGTTTTGCTTTCTCTCCCATGGAAAGAAAATGCCCTATAATAAAGAAACACAAGGATCGGGTCGGTTTGAAAAACCGAGGCTCAGGCCGGGAGCCGGAACAGACCAATCAGCACGCTGCATTGTCGACCAGTCAGGAAGCAAGGTGTCAGTGCCTCTCCTATAAATAAAACCAGCGAAGCCAAGCACACCGTCACAATCCTTGCACTGAAGGAGAGATCAATCATGTCGTCTCGTGACAACTGTATGAAGTGTCAGACCGACAGTCACAGTTACCTGTACTGCCCTGAAGTGACATGTACCGAGTGTCACACTCAAGGTCACCGCCACTATGTCTGTCAGAAGATAAGCAGTCAAGATAAGCAGAGGACTCCCCAGGGCCCATGCTACAACTGCCGAGCAGTGGACCATTTCGCTGCAGATTGCCCAGAACCCAGTCGAAAGAAGACTCCCCAGGGTTCTTGTTACAACTGCCGAGCAGTGGACCATTTCGCTGCAGATTGTCCAGAACCCAGTCGAAAGAAGACTCCCCAGGGCCCATGTTACAACTGCCAAGTCGTGGGCCATTTCGCTGCAGATTGTCCAGAACCCAGTCGATCCAGTCGATCCTGTCGATCCAGTCGATCCATGCTGTCCATGTCGACACAAGTGCTACATCTCATAGAAGACATGCATATGGACGTGCCTTAAAAGAATGCATCTCACAACTCCATGCGGACTTCACACCACGTCTAGGCAAAAGAAAACATGACCGACGACGTCATCAGTCTGAGGAGGAGGAGGAGGGCGAGGAAGAAGATAAATCATCTGAGCAAAGTGACTAACGCATGGCACATACTGATCAACAGTTTTTCCAGTTTCCAATCGTTTCCAGTTTCCAGTTTTCCAGTTTCCTACCATTTCCTGTTTCAAGTTTGTTTTCCAACGGCCCTTTTCAGAGCTACCCATCGCTCCCGAAAGAACTCTTTCATCATTGCTTTGCCAACACAAACAACAATCCAAAAGAACCCACGACCTCCCCGTCCTCTTGGCGGTACACGCCTACGAGTGACACCACGCCTCTATGTATATATGTGTACACTAGTGCCATCACGTTTGCATGGAGCCACAAGTATAACACCACGTATGTCTATCGATCTCTCTCTATTCTTATCAATCTAAATATTATAAATTATACTATTTATAAACGTCTGTTTGAAGACATGCATGACACCACGTTTGGATGGAGACACGCGTGACACAACGTTTGCATGGAGACATGTAGTATATCACGTTTGCATGGAGACACGAGTGACAGGACGCATGTAGGCACGAGTGTCAACACCTCGGCGTAGATGAGGGAGTGACAAAGTCACGTATGTCTATCGTTCTATATCAATATAGACGTCTGTTTGTAGTCACGCGTGGCACCACGTTTGCATGGAGACACGAGTAAAAAACGCCACGCAGGCATACACGAGTGCTAACACCTTGGCATGGATGAGCGAGTGATAACACTACGTATGGCTATTAAAAAAACAACAACAAAAAACAACGTCTGTTGTCTGTGGTGACACGAAATGCATCACGTAGGCATACCTACATCACATTTATGTAGGTCCATGTCGGTCCACCTTCAGAATTCAGACGTCCGTTCCACAAATGACCGTGGTGATGGTGGTCATGACTACCCCAAAAAACAGGATCGAAATCTGACCAATCAGAAGCAAGGGTTGTTGACCAATCAGAGGCTGCACTCGACCTGTTCTGGTCTCTGATTGGTCGAACCGGCGTTGTGCGTTCTCGCCCATGGAAAAACTATTTTCTATGAAAAAGAAACACAAGTGTCCGTTCGTTTTGAAAAACCGAGGCTCAGGCCGGGCGCCGGAACGGACCAATGCGTTGTTGACCAGTCAGGAAGCAGGGTTTCAGTGCCTCTTCTATTAAAAAAGCGACCACTCGAGTGGGTCAGTGTCACTTGTGAAAATCATCACATCGAGAATGGTAGAGACGAATAGCTGTACGAATACTTGTGAGGGAGACGTGGTGACTGATAGTGCAGATGCTTGTGGACCCAGGAGTAAGGGTACGGATGCTTGTGATGGCAGGTCGCCGCCCAGTAAGTCACCGTCGCCCCATTATCTACACTTTGAAAGAAGGCTAGCCTCGTTTGACGCAAATGAACCAGACCACTGAAGAGATGGCCCATGCGGGCTTCGTGTACACGCAGAGAGTGAGTGAGTGAGTAAATGCTTTACGTCACATCAGCAATATTTCAGCCATATCGTGACGATGGTGTGTACTGTTTCCAATGTGGCTGAGAATGTGGGCGTCCCTAGACGATCCTTGGGTGGAACACCACAAGTGGTCCCCTCACTGTGACTACCTCAAGATGACCGGGCTGGTGAGACACAAGAAGAAGCTACAGCTACACTATCTCTGCGAGGAGAATGTGAACCAGAGGAACACGAATGAGGAACCTTTCACCGCCTTCCTTGGATGAGGTTTCCGTTCCTGTTTCCGTTCCCGTTCCAGTTCCCGTTCCAGTTCCTGTGACGGTCCTTATTTTGGCACTCAACATTTGATAGTCACCTTTGTACAAGGCACTACATGTCATCATCAGATCATGCAGTTCTAACGGATCATCAATGAACACTTCACCGCTCACTTCCCTCAGTGTCTTGTCATCCATAAGATTGGACATGATGTTGCTTCTTGGACAGCAGTACAAAAGTTTTCTTCCTCCTCTTCTCCCAACGGCCCTTTTCAGGGCCACCCCACTCTCCCGAAAGAACACTTTCATCATTGCTTTGCCTACCCACCACAAAAAAATCCTCCTCCTTTTCCTCCTCCCTCCCTCCTCCTCCTCCCTCCCTCCTCCTCCCTCCCTCCCCCTTCTCCCTTCCTCCCTTCCTCCCTCCTCCTCCTCCCTCCCTCCCCCTTCTCCCTTCCTCCCTTCCTCCCTTCCTCCCTCCTCCCTTCCTCCTCCCACCCTCCTCCCTTCCTCCTCCCTTCCTCCTCCTCCTTCTCCTCCTTCTCCCAACCTCTTTTTTTTAAATTAAAAGTGGAGGATTTTACGTGCGCTACTTTTCATTTTTTCATATATTTTTTTTAATTTTACGAGCGCTCCTCCTCCACGGATCCGGAAGTGGCGCCATCTTGGAGGCGCACGCCTCTCGGAACCGGAAGTGGCGCCATCTTGGAGGCGCATGTCACTCGGAACCGGAAGTGACGCCATCTTGGAGGTGCACGCCACTCGGAATCGGAATAGACGCCATCTTGGAGGCGCTCGCATTACCCAGCATGCAACTCTTCGCGCATGCGCAGAACCACTTCCGGATACCAGAGCGCTGCTATGTACTAGTCACGTTTTCAATTAATAATTTGTGACATTATAAAATGTTCAAAAACGAATGTTGTAACAAAGGTTTTACCAACTGTTATTTCAAGCTTAACGTGAATTTTTGTCTTTGACTGTGGTCTAACTGAATGAATTATTCGTTAAACACCACTTGGCAATGACGCAACTTCTTTTTTTCCCTGTCATTTAATCGTGATTATAGAGCAATTTCATGAAAAACGTTTGTCGCCAGCGGGATTCGAACCCGCGCGGAAGGTTAACGAGTGTAATCTTCTGACACGGCGACATGGGGATATCGTATGAAATTAACAACTAAATATAAACTTACATCAGGACTAATTGCTTATCCGTTTATGAACTGCGAAATATGTTCTATGCAATTTCTATACAGTATGCTACTTGATGATACTTCCTAAATATCACAGGGGATACCTGTTGTCCGCCAATGGAGAAGTGTGGTACGACGATCCAAACCTAGATCGTACCGATTGTAAAATATCTATATGGAGTAATCTCTGGGCAGCCAGAAGAAAGAACAAGTTTAAATTCCGCACCCATTGTAAATTAATAGATCTGGGTTTGGAACCTTTTTTTCGCCCAGACAATTGTTTTAGCTCAAGTTTGATTGTTACAGAGTTAAAACGTTTAGTTTATAATTCACATAAAATCAAATGGTAAAATGCAATTTCACACCGCTTTGGTCCATCGCGCCTGGGAGGTAATAAACTTAGACTAAACTGTTGTTTTAAGCAGAACAAAACTGTTGAGGAGTATGTCTACCGCCATCGGCCTCGTGACCACAGAAGGGCTTAAATCAATTCATTTGTGGTGCTGCTCCTATCGCAATTGAATTAGTGAGTGAGCGGTTTTATGCCGCTTTTAGCAATATTCCAGCAATATCACGTCGGGGAACACCAGAAATGGGCTTCACACATTGTACCCATGTGCGGAATCGAGCCCAGGTCTTCTTCGAGGCGAGTGATCGCTTTAACCACTAGGCTACCCCACCGCCCATGCTCGTCGTAAGACGCGACTAACGGGATCGGGTGGTCAGGCTCGCTGACTTGGTTGATGCATGTCATCTGACGCCTGCCATCGTGCCCCAATTGCATAGATTTATGTCCAGTCACTGGATTGCCTAGTCCACACTCGATGAGTTACAGACCGCCGTATAGTTCCTTAATACTGGGTGTGGCGTTAAACAACACGAAAATGTTCCAAATACCAGCCCTAATTATGTTTGGGACATTTAACTTACAGGTGAATCACGACAGGAATAATACTTACGATTCTGTAGTAGCTCGTTTACACCTTCGGGAGTAATATTCCACTGGTGATTACCACAGGCAAACACAAGCTTAACGTCACCGAAGTGTGTCTGTGTCACACTAATGGGTACAATTTTGGGCAGGTATTTGATGGTAGCGTTCCTCCCAGTATTACATGTATAGGTGACACTCCCGACCTGTAGTGTTAAGTTATAAGCATCAGAGCAGTGGTAGTCTCGAATGTCGACTGTGAGGGATATTCTGTCACCCAGATTCACTGAATCAGCATCCACATCACTGGTTATGTTGACCGAGGGAATCTCTAGAACATAACAAATGGCATAACTGTGTATATATCTTAATAAAAAATATATCTTTAACATAATAAATGTCAGAATTGTGCATATATCTTAATAAAAAAATATCTCTTAAACATCATAAATGTCATAACTGTGTATATATCGTAACTGAATATATATCTTAAACATAAAAAATTCATAACTGTGTATATATCGTAATTAAAAATATGTCTTAAACATAAAAAATTCATAACTGTGTATATATCTGAATTAAAAGTATCTCATAAACATAAAATTGGCATAGCTTTTATATATCTTAATAAAAAATATCTTTTAAACATAACACCAACTTACATTTGTTATCAATATTGTCATAAATATAACATCATCAAGCGTTGCATTTTAATTACAATTAGTACAGGTATGAAAACCATTCATATGAGCTACAAGCGAATACCCTATGATAGTTAGAGATTGAATTGTTTTCTTTGACAAAGTATATAAGTCCGTAAGATTCACTGGCCACGTGAACATTTTAAATACAGTAAACTACGGTTATAACGAACTCGACAGGGGACCACTAATCTTAGTTCGTAATAACCGTAGCTCGTTATAAGCATACATACAGCATATATACAACAAATGGTCGGGACTAAAAATAAGTTCGCTATATCCGTCAGTTCGTTATAAGCGTGTTCGTTATAAACGTAGTTTACTGTAAATGAAATGAAAGATGAATGAAGATTGAATAATCACTCCCGTGACTCTTGGATGCTTTCATAG